AGCAAGGAAGGGGCATAATTTTTAAAAAAAGCCCCAGACAAAAAAGGCAAACCCCCCCTCCATAAAAAAAAAAAAAAAAAAAAAAAAAAATTATTTATATATATATATAAATAAATAACTTCTAACACATAATTACAGACCTCTGATGAAGCAGGGCGGAAGCCAAAGCCCAGAGGCACGTTCTCCTCATCCTCACACCCTTTGACCCCCGGGCTGAAGTGGAGCTCCACGTGGAAACGTTCCTCTGAGGACGGGTCCTTCTCGCGGACATGAAAGAGACAGCCTTCCCGTTAAGGAACCCGGAGATCAGCTGAGGAAGATGAGCAGCGGCCTGCGAACCGACCTTGTTGTTGTCTTCGTACAGCATGATGACGATTTGCGTCATGTAGTTGAGCTCAGTCACGGCGCTGAGGTAGTCCATCGCCTGCTTCCACTGCTGGTCCTTCACCTCCTTACCAACACACAAACACACGCACAATGCCTTACAGAAGCATTCGCACGCCCTTTATACGAATCACGTTTCGTCACATAGCAACAGCAAGCCTCGTGCAAATTGCTGAGATTTTATGAGATGGACTGACAGAGTGGTGGACGAAAAGTGACACATGGTTTTAAAACATGATGGGGGAAAAAAAAAAACAGCTGTTTTTTTTGTGACGTAAAATCACAACTTTAACACACTTTCAAAATCAGAAAATAATAACTCAACGAAAAAGTCTAGTTGGTTTTGCTCTTGTGTTTTTTTTTCTGAAAGGAATCCATGATTAGTTCTAACAATAGACTTTACTTATTTCAAATGGGGAAAAAAATGCTTTAGGATGTTAATTTTTATAAACTTAAATAAAACATCATCACATGGACGTTTATCTGCTGCAAACTATTCAGAGTAGATGATGTATGCTAGGTGCTACAGTGCTAGCTCTAGCAGTAATTTATGCGTTTTAAGCAACGCTCAGACCTTCCTGGTTGAAGCAGAACGTGCTAAAATTTCAGATTTTCTTTAACGTTTCATGTCTGGTGTTCGTTACGAAAGCCATGACTTTTTTTTCTTCTTTTTTTTAATGGTGGAGGATTTCATAGCTAATAGCTGAGACTCTCTCGACTGTGAATCTCTGCAGCTCCTCCAGAGTTATGGATGTTTTTTTCCTGATAAATGCTAAAACAGCACCACAATTCAGACTTTTGTTTGTAAAGTAATTCTGAGAAACATTTGTATTCTTCTCCATAATTGTGTTGGTCTATCACATAACGTTTTAAACATAACGCACATTAAAACTCTGCGGTTTTTATGTGACGAGCTGTGGAAAAGTTAAAGAGGTGTGAATACTTTTGCAAAGGTTTTTACACAGAAAAAAAAAAAAAAAAAAAAAAAAAAAAAAGGATTTGTCCAAAAGTCATATGAGTCTCATTTAGCCCAGCATGCATCAGCGTATTTATCTGTAAAGCATATTTCAGCAACAAGGCAGCTCAAAGTGCTTTACACCATAAAAACACAACATGGCAGCCAATCATGAAATAAGAAAGACGTAAAATTTTGTCAAATGTCATCAAACAAATACACATTAAATATCTTGATAGTGGTCCATTCATTACAAACCAAACAGATCTAAACAGGTCTGGTTTTTAAGCCTAAGTGTTTCGGCATCTTTGCAGTTTTCTGGAAGTTTGTGCTGCATAAAGCAATGCGCCACAACAATAATTAATGACAATAATTACTCATGAGGCCCAGATGGTTTCTGGCGAATCTCCGACAATATTTTCAAAAACAAGCCTGAGAGGAAATGACTTGAGAAGGATAAGTGAGTGAGGGCTGTACACACATCCAGCAGCCCTCCGTAGCGGAACATGCTGAGCAGGGAGTGGACGTGGCTCTCGCTCGTAAAGTAGAGTCGTGTGCGAACGTGGCGACCAGGAGACATCACTCCGCGGGAATACCTGAACAGCAGGGGGACAGGAACGGACATGAGAGCTGATCGGGTCACACAGGTGATCGACAGAACAGCTCTGACTAGTATTTACATTAACTTTGACGTTTTTATCACATTTTACTGCAGTGTGGCAGGTTTCAGAGGAATCTGGTATTTTGTACAGTTTTGGCTTAATTACTGCTCAGAATATGTTTTTGGGGTTTTTCCAGTAAAAGGTCTTTTTCTGAGTCTGTGCACTCCAGTCATCGATTAATCAATTAGTAAATCAGTTGCCAATTTCAATAATTGGTTCATTGTGATGAATCCGATGAATCATTTCAGCTCTAGTTAATTTAAGCTTGTTTATATAGTAGAAGTTCACAAAAAAATTAATCTCAGCGCACTTTACAAAAATAGATGTATTTATAAAAACATATTAAAAAATGTTTAAAAGTATTTCAATTCAGTCATATTAGGATTAGCTGGAGTATCCAGTTATTCCACTTTATTATTCTAATTGAAACGTTTTCTAGCCAAGAGAGAAAACTTTAAGTGATTTTTTTCTCACCAAGAACTTGAGGGAAAAAAATTAATGGGATATTTAACTTCTGAGTTTAATTCACATTTATTTGGTTTTATCTGTGGAAAAAAATTCATTCAAGATTTTTTTTCTGCTCAATTCCACTTAGATGGAAAAAGCAAGCAAGTCTAAGATAAAATAGAAACTATGATATTGATCTTTGAAAGTTTAAAGAAACGAGACAAAGTTTAGTAGCACAGTAATCACACGTTTGGGTGTGACCTCACAGAGGGTGCAGCTTGTTGACGGCCTCGTCCTCGTGGGTCCTCTGCAGGTCCAGGTAGATCTTCTTCATCAGAGGGACGCAGTACGCCTGAGCGATGTCCAGCTTCTCCGCTTTATTGATGCCGTATTCCTGAAACCACAAGGATCCAAAATGTTTTCACTCTGTATTCTGAACCATATATATTCTTTTGTCAAATCAAAAAGGGACGGAGCAAGAATCAAACTGCACCAGGCCTGAGGTGAACGAAAGCGATCTGACCTGTGGGATGACGATGTCAGCCAGAGCGCGGGACAGCCTGAAGAGCTCCAGCGTGTCCTCCAGGCCGACGGAGGCGTTGTGCTGCGAGTCGTACTTGATGCAGTCGTAGATGTCCGGGATCTTGCTGATGTCGTAGCGGCCGTTCTTCATGCGGAAGTCCCTCTCCAGCTTGGACCAGCGCTGCAGCATCAGCTCCAGTGTCTCGCTGTGGTACAGCTGCAGATCTGGAGGGAAACGCATGACGACCATCATGACTGTTACTGAGAAACGGGAAAGAAATATCGGAATGTGTTGTCTACTCTGAGCGTTTTATTTATGTAGTTAAAGCTAAAGAAGCAGAAAAAAAAAATATATATATATATATATATATATATATATATATAAATAAATCAGAGATTACCCAGAACCTGAAGGTAAAAGTGTAAAGAGTTTGTATCCAGAATGTGTGTGGTCTGCAGAGACGCTAGCTACCCTTTTTTCTGACCCTTGACCTGTACAAGTAATAGATGGAAGGAAGGATACATATTTTCAACAACATCAAATTGAGACGTGAAGTTTATTTAGAAAGCAAGAAAGTGAAACTAAAACCCAAACCAACAACCCATGAAGCTTCTGAAGCTTCAGAGACAAAGTTTTAGACTTTTAGAACATTTGAAAGGTCCTAGATTTAAATAAAAGATCAACATGGATGACAAAAATAGCCCAAATAAGATATATACAAATACAATGTTGGAAACAACAACCAGTATGTCACATTAATGTGACGTACAGGTTAACGAATGAAAGGTGATTTTCTGAATCAAATCTACAAACGTACTGAATGAATTTAATCTAAATTAAACAAATGAATAAAAACAATGGAGGGAGACTCAACAGATTTAAGGTGTAGCTAAATATATTTTCTAACCTATTATGACAAATAAGAACTAATTTAGGAGATTTTAACACCAAACATTTACATTTTTATTTATTTTTAAGTTTTTTTCTCTGCTTTCTAAGCCCCTGGAGAAAGCCTTTGAAGCAGCCATCAATTAGGTTGAAACTTTTACAGGTAAAGTAGCTACTGAGCTGGCAAATCCTGTCAGCCACAGAACATGATGGAATTGGAAATGTTGGGTTTCTGCAGGTTTCAGCAAGTCAAATTTAAGGCCGTTTTAATGTCAGCTTGAATTCAAATTAAGACCAAAGAAGCAGAAATGAGCCAGTGGAAAAAAGAAACATCATCCAAGCAACTGGTGAAACATTCACACTTACCCATGATAGATGCAAAATGCTAGCTAGATAGTTAGCAAGATTATATTAGCAGGTAGCTGGCAGTAGCCTCAATCGCCTTAAATTACAGAACATATTCAAGATGTCTGCATGTGATTTAAACTTTGGCCGTGACAGAAAGTCTCAAGCGAGTCGAGTCGGTCTACCTGCGGATTTGGGGTCCTCCAGTCTCTTTCGAATCTGTGAGGTGAGGCTCTGAATGAGCGCATAAACCTTGTCGCAGGTTTTGACTGGATTCTCTATGACCTTCATTGAGTTCACCAGGGATGGGCTGCCGGTCGGAGCCAACTGGACCACAAAGGAAACACAGAAAGACTCATCGGTCAGCAGATATGAAGCAATGTTTTGAAACAGCCTGTTGACACGCTTTGAGTTACCTTCTGAAAGTCGTCTTGAGTGAAGTCTTGGTCCTTCTGCATAATCTCGTGTAGTCTGGCCTTCACCTTCTGCTGGCAGTCAGTCAGAGAGTCACTGTCGCTGTCCAGGAGTCCATTCATGTTGGCGCTCTTCACCATCTGGACCAGGATGGGCGTCAGCTCGCCCTCCAGAGCCAGCAGGCCCTGGACACAAACACCAACAGATGGAAACTACTGGAGAAATATGGACCATGCTTAAAAGCCAGAAAGGAAAGGCAGAGACAATTAATCGTGATGAATCAATTATTGACATAATCGGCAACTAATTTGATAATCGTGGACTGATGTACAGACTAAGAAGAAAAGAAAAAGCCAACCGCTGAATAGAACAGCTGACTCAGCAGTAACTCAGACAAAACTGTACAAAAATATATACATCTTGCAACAAAGAGAAACAAACAAAAAAAAAAAACTTTGTAAATATGTTCTACCCAAAAAATCTTTCAAGTAGCATCATTTTAACTTCACTTTGCTCAAATTCTCTAAAAACAAAAATAAAATAAATCCTATTTGGCACCTTTTGCCAATGAATTGTTAATGTGTATAAATATTAAGTGAAGCATAAAGGCCTGAGCTTTTCACATTTTGATGTTAGACGTGTTTTTTGCTGCAGATGATCAGGCATTCAATAGAAGAATGCTGCTATTGCATTTCAGGAAATAAAATATTTTTCTTTTTGTAAAAATGAATTGAATTATTTGTTTATTTGCATCTTTTATTGTTTTTTTTGTATGTGGCATAAAAAAGGCTAGAGTGAAAAATCTGCAGAATGTGGATTTTTTTTTTACCCGATTAATCATCAGTATAAAACTAAAACAATCGTTAATTGTAGCTCTACAAGAGATTCAATCAGTGGAAATACAGTCCAGCAACTGCAATCAGCAGAAATCGTGACAGATGTGTGTTTATATTTTTATATTCTTTTATAAATCTACGTAGATTGAAGAAATTAAAATCAATCAAGACTTGTGTTCTTCATTAATGGTTTTAAATCATAAACTACTGTGACAACAACGTTTCTCTGGTCATCGTTTAAAGCCCAACATCGCATTCATAGCTATGTAACCCCTCCACCAGCTCTGTGTGTTCCTAACTAAGCTTCATAAACAAAGTTTCATCTGTCGGTCGAGCCCACAAAGTTACCTTGGCAAACGCTGCAGCCGTCATCTGAACCCTGCCTTCGTCAGAGGCATAAATCTTCAGGTCGTGGCGGTAAGTGCTGTGCAGACGCAGCAGGCCGCAGCCAGGAAACCCCGCAAAGTCACCTGGAATATCGTGCACAAAGCAGACCGGCTGGTTTAAAACTTACAGTCAAATTGTTCTTTTTAAATTTTTTTAAAGGGAAGGCTCAATCAGTGGAGACGTCGGCAGACAAAGAGAAAACGATGATGTGTTGATTTCACCGTAAAATACCGAAGATTCCCCCGATAATCTGAAACAGAGAACCTGAGCAGGCAGAGCATCACTTTTAGTCCAAATGCAGCGATCTTAAACCACCTCGTCTCGTTTCATGTTAAAGTCGACTTGAATCGTAAAGTTTGAGCTCCGTATAAAATGAATTGAAAGTGAATAAAAGCTGAGTAAACCTTCCGATCAGACGCACTCACCCGCAGGTCGGAGCAGACATTTTATATTCCTCAGCAAACACAACTTTTCATGCTTAAAATAAATCAATTTATTAAGAGTGCCTTGACAAAAGTGTAGTTATCTCAAAACTTTTTCCACATTCTGTCACTTTACAGCTACAAATGTTTAAGGATTTGTGGTGATTTATGTGGTAGACTAACACAAGAAGTGTATTTCTGAAGAGGAAGGAAAATGACACATTTACTCGGATAATAAAATTAAATATTAAAATCCATCTCCTGAAATGCAGCTCTGGGTGTGACAAGACATCTAATAGAGCACTTCACAAATCTGGTCTTTATGGAAGAACAGCAAGAAGAAAGGCAACATGATTTCCATCTCACCGTCTGGGGATGGGAAATGATCTGGTCAAATTTAAAAAGTGAGAGAATACACAATTTCTCATAAATATCTCAACATCACAGTGTGGCTGCGTGAAACAGGCACATCATCAGGAACTCAGTCAAAACTCAGAACAAAGTCAAAGAGATCAAAGTTAGAATTTCAAGAACAAATTCAAGGATATCAAAGTCACAATTCTTAAATCAGTCAAATAGATCAAAGTCAAAATACATTTTTTCAGTGGCCCTAATCTTCTTCCATAGTCTGTTGTTTAACGTAACATGGAAGGTTTCAGAAGGCAAAGAGGCGGTAAAGAAGTGGTTAAAAGCAAATACAGTTTTCATGCTGTATATGAATTTAAAGCATGTTGGCGACTTGTCCTCTCCTTAGCTACAGTGCAGAATATAAACTAGGCCTCAAAAAATGACAAGACGTTTCAATGGTGAGATTTTACAAAAGCTGGTTAGACTACTGATTATCTGGAAAAACCATGCATCATTTTCCTCTCTCTTTACACACAACTTCATGTCCCAGTGAAATGCAGTCAATTAGTGCTGTGACAGCAAGAATGTGGAAAACTTCAAGGGGTATGAGTTGCTTTTGTAAGGCACTGCGTCTCTGCATTGTGCAAACGAATGCTACAGATAAAATGTTTCATGCATTTTCCAGTTCTGTGCAGCCCAGTAGCATAAAGATATTCCCTGGACATATTGTGTTTTCATGCTGTATTTGAATTTAAAGCATGTTGGCGACTTGTCCTCTCCTTACTTACAGTGCAGAATATAAACTAGGCCTCAGAAAATGACAAAAATAAATAAATAATTATGAAAGTGTTTTGGGTGGTTTCAACAGTAATGATACAAACAATCCACAGCAATCTCAGTAGAAAAAACAAAAAGGAATTGTCAAGTTGCCAAGTGAGATTAACCACAAATCACAATGAGAAGGAATCAGATCATGTTAGAGAGACGGATGGACCGACGCGCTTAAAGCTGCAGTACGCAACTTATGTAAAAAGTATATTTTGTTACAATGTGTTGAAACTGTCTCCATGTTGTGACAGTACAGCATGAAACAGAGGATCTCTGTGAAAAAGCTCCTGTCTCCTTCCAGTACTAAATAGAAACAACCAATCAGAGCCAGGAGGAGGGTCTTAGCGCTGTCAATCACTCTCTGTGCGCATGCTGCTCACAACTGCCCCATTTCTCTCTGCTAGCTACAGTTCCTCCATTTCAGCAGAGCATACGGTGAATGGTAATGCTAGTTAGCATAGCCACCAATGGTTTAACGTGGAGTTGTTTCTCTGCCACTAGCAGTGCAGGTTGATTGACAGCACTAAGACCCTCCCTCTGGCTCTGATTGGTTGTTTTTTACCAGGAGTTGGGGATTTCTCCAGACACCAATAGTAGCTCAAGAAAGAAGTGAAGAAACTTGATCTTTTCACAGATCATCTGTCTCGTATCACACTGCTACGACATGGTGACAGTTTTAACAAACATGTAAAAAAAAACCTTTAATTTTTTTTTAAAATAAGAGTTACAGGCTGCAGCTTTAACGGGAGTGAGTGGCGGAGCGGTGACAGCCAGGAAACCCCTCGTCTTACCAAAGTCAACAGGGGACTCACAGCCAGAGGACCGGCGATTACAGGCTAGTAGTGTACACATAGCAACGACAGGTAAGAAGAGAAGAGTAGAGTTAATTGACAAAAAGTTGTGGTGAATGAAGGAGGAATGACAACAGTGGAAGTGTGAAGTGTGTGACCTTTACAGAAGAAAAAAAACAGGAAGCAACACAGGCAGCCTGTGCATCTACTTTTAGTTCAGTTTCAGGTTGTTTGAGCAGAACTGGTAGTTCTACATGCACTGATAATAAAGCATTAGGAAGGGAAGGTCAGTTAAAGACTCCTACGATGGATTAAAGAGAAAAACCTCCATGCAATGGAAAACCCTTCAAAACCCAACATTTCTGTTCCTTTTCTTTACACACAGGTGCTGCTACACACCCACAACCAGTTTGAACAACCAGTTCCTCACAAGTATGTTTATCCACAAAAACAAGTTGGGGGAACATTAATATCGATTTCTATGGTTATACTTGCAAAAGCTTTATGAGTGAGATAGATTTATTACTGTTAAATGCAATGTGTTTCTATGACTGCTAAGAAACTTGTGGAGTAAAAATACCATACCAACTTTATTTATAAAGCACTTTAAAACAACCACAGCTGATACTAAGTGCAGTACATTAATTAAAACACAACAATAAAAAATTAATAAAATAAATCAACTCTTGCAGTTTAAAAACAAACATATAATTTAAAACTGGATCCCGCTGGAGATTAAAAAAATCGATGTTCTTGACATTACAAATAAAAAAATTAATTTATACAAAAAGTATAAAATAGATGGGTTTTAAGACGAGCTTTAATAGTGGACAGTGAAGGGGCCTCTCTGACCTGCAAAGGCAAGTCGTTCCATAACTTAGGACCCATGACAGAGAAAGCCCTGTCCCCTCTGAGCTTCCTTCTGGATCTCAGTACCTCCAAGAGCAGCTGATCGGCAGACCTGAGAGACCGATGAGGTATATAGGGGTGAAGAAGCTCAGAGAGGTAAGCCGGGGCAAAATTATGTAGTGATTTAAAAACGAACTTAAGAATTTTAAAATGAATCCTAAAATATACAGGCAGCCAGTGAAGTGAAGCCAGGACAGGGGTCACATGTTCCCTCTTTCAAGTTCCTGTCAAAAGTCGTACAGCAGCATCTGAACCAGCTGCAGACGTGGGAGCAGCGACTGACCGACTCCCAGATAAAGTGAGGTACAGTAATCCAGTCGAGTCGAAATAAAAGCGTGGATCACTGTTTCAAAATGCTGCCTGGAAAGAAAAGATTTCACTGATGCCAATCGCCTTAAATGATAAAAACTGGACTTAAATTCGGCTCTGATTTGGCTGTCCAATTTGAAATCACTGTCCACCTTAAAACCAAGATCTGTAATTACAGGTTTAAAATAAACCTCTAAGGGTCCCAGGTCAACAGAGGAGGACTGACAGGAGCCACTGGGTCCAAACACCATCACCAAATAAAAACAAATAAACAGACGAATAAACTTGACAACATCAAACAAATATGATCTTTACCTCAACAAAAAAAAATAAGAATAAGCAAAAGTATAAGGGTCTTGCAGATTCAATTAAATTCAAAAATACTTTATTGACCCCAGAGGGAAATTAAATATGCGACTCCACGACCTGTCCTGGAAGCACAAACCGTACGTATTTACGCGCTAAAATATATAAAAAATAACCTTCTTGGTATGCCCATCAAGAAGGGCATTTTAATTTCTGTTTTTACTTTTTGTCATTGTAATCATATAACTAGTAGTTGACTTCAAGAGAACAACAAAAAGAGAAACGGTTTAAGCACAATTTGGTAGACTGATGCTTTCTGAAAAATGTTTAAAATTCAACCAAATCAAGCATGAGGAAAGATGGCGTGACACGTTTGTGTTTCCAATAAACACATGGAATATAGTCTTGTACATGTGATTATGTCTTTAATTAATCTCATAAAGATATGATTGCTATAAAAACAAAGATATTTGTTTTGTTCCTGATGAGTCCACCAGAGGGCGCATTGAGGGCATAAATACCTTACAGTCAATTTTCTACTTAATTTCTCTCTCTCCTATTTTCCTTTATTTAACCAGGCTAAAACCTCATGGAGATCAAAATCTCAGGTGCAAATATAATCTTTGAACTAAATTATGATATTATTCACGAAGAGAATCATAACATTGTCTAGGAAAACAGGTCCTCAAGTATTTTAATTTATATAAATATGTTATGAGTGTCGATGTACGCATCAAGAAAGATCCAGAAGTATTTCTTTCAGTGAGTCGACGTAGGGCTGGAGGATTTGGACCTAAATTTTATCATGATATTTTGTGGTATTATTATGATAACAATAAAAGTGACAATAAAAACTATAGCGTGTGACAGCATGACACAGCAATTCAGGTCACCAGTCACATAAAAAATGTGATTTGTATTACTAAACTGCATCCATATTTTCAAATTTATTGATATTTGTTGATACTTGCATTGGAAAAAAAAAAGTGGATTAAACAACAATCCTGACAGTGTGAATTGTTTTGGGAGGTTTTAGACATTAATTGACATTTATTGTGACAATAAATCAAAAGTTAACATGATAAGAAATTTATCACAATAAATGATAAGCGATACGATGCGATAAAACGCCCAACCCTAACAGTAAGTAACAGATCGTGCAGCAACACGAGCTAATCTGCTTTGTTTTGGCGTCACGTTTTAAAGTGTCCCTACGGAACATTGCATTGTGCACTTAATTCCACACAAAAACAATCTGTTAGTGAATTGACATAAATAAATAAAATAACTTAGTAGCTTAATACCCACTTGTGTTATTTTGAGAAACATGATCAGTGGACACAAGCTATCGAAGCATTTTATGGCAACTGGCAACCTTTGACCCATTCTGAGCACACAGTGTGTGAAGTGTGTGTGTGTGTTTGTTACCTTGACCTCCAGGGTACATGCAGCGGAAGGCCCTCCCCAGCTCCTCGGCCTGAACCCGGCCAGCGGGCGTCAGCTCCCCGCCCCACTTCAGCACCAGCAGCAGGGACGGGCCGTCCTTCTTACAGTCTGGAAGCAGCAGAAAAACAGAAAAACAAAAAATCCTTCACCTTCAGTACTGATTGTTGTTTAGCAAAGCATTTCTGTTGTATCTTGTAGTTAAAGTTGTGTCAAACTCAGCGTTCCTGAGTACGTCGCATTTCAACAAGCTGGGAGACGCAAAGAGAAGGACAGATAATGTCGTTATGCCGACTCTGGAGTATCAAGATGTCTCCCACATGAGACTGCTGAGAAATTATTATGACTACACAATAGCTCTCATTCTGATCAGGTTACAACTTCATCTGCACAGCGATAAAGATGATACACTGTCTGCAGGTGCTGGTATTTAATCACATCTTCCAGTTTGACTACACTGGATCTACCAGCCATGATGGATGCTGATCTAAACATCAAGCTTAAAGCAAGATATACGGCAGCAGTAGAGTTTCGCAACGAATCTGAAAGGGCCTCTGACTGAAGATCGTTGCTTTATGACCTTCTGGAATAATAGAACCTGCTTCTATCCGTCTGCTCTGGTCTTCACAAACAGAAGCATTATGTTTGCTAATGTTTTTCTGAAATCCGTTGATTATTTTTTTGAGCAAATATTGCTCAAAAAATTAGCTGCAGCCACGCACAAAAGAAATAAAACATTTGGAGAAAGAAGTTCCAAATATGGAGAGAAAAAAAAACAAGAAAAAAACAAATTGATGAAGACAAAAAAAAAATCCAATACCTTGTGTGATGTCATCAAACACATACTTGCGTAGCAGCCTGGGTTTGAGCGTAATGATATACACAACAGAAACGCAAAACAATAAAAAACACTGATTATACAATTTTGATTCATCTATATTAAATGTGATTTTGACATATTTACAAAATTAGTTTGACTACTAACTTTAATTTTGTATTACGTTTGTCATGGACAAAACTACTTCAGGGCCACTAAAAGTAAACGAGACTTCTGACTTTAATCTCAGAATTTTATTAGATTAAAGTCAAAATTCTGGGGGGAGAAAAAGCCAATTTCCCCCCCCCCCCCCCCCCCCCCCCACGACCCCCACCCGCCCCTCACCTATCTTTACCTA